TCCATGTGAATCTCACTTACATGGACCATGTGTGTTCATATATACCTCACAAATCACTAGGGAGACAAACTGCAACACTGTCCTGGGTACCTTTGGAATAGCTGTTGTTTGTTTGTATGGAATTTTGTTGTTGTTATATTGGATTGTTTGTTTTTTATCTAAACTCATCTCACGGAGTAGAGGGAAAGGTTATGGAAAGAAACTGGTGACATGAAGTATTCATAACTATTTTAGGAAACTTTATTTTTTCATACTGGCATTTCAGTTCCCTCTATACCCTTTTCTCAGTCTTTTTTCTTCCTATCTGACTGATCACAACATATAATTTCTAGGCTGGACTTGGCACAAAATCCTATTCAAGAAGATAACATACACTGACCCAGTCTCCACATCCAAGATCGCTAAACTTGCCCTTAATACTGTTTAATCTCCATTTGTTGGTTCCCCAAATCCCCTCTATTATCTCTCACCACACTCCAGCATTTCAATCTCCATAAAACTTTCAGGTACTTAACAAAAATAACAGTGTAGATTCACACTATTAAATTGATGCAGGAAGAGAGCAGGAGGGTGGCCAGAGGACAACACTTCCCCTTACCTCAGCAACAACCAGCACAAATTAAAACCAGCCCAACCACATCTTGTGTTGCAAGACTCACAGAAAGCACATTATTCAAACATAACAGACCAAATCAAACCCTAGTGACCCTACAACATCTAGAGTAATAGCAATGCAAAAGAATACTGCTTTTGGCTTTCAGAACACACACTCAGTTCACAGTTACTCAGAAGAGGTATGCCATTTTTATTAGTCATATTTGAATCTTTCAGTTGAACCAAATGTGTTTTTAACAAAATTTTATGCAAAAAAATTATTTTTTTCATCAACTGTGTTTATACTATACCACATTTAAAGGCATTTTTTTCATTAAAGTGTTAATAGAAATTGTCTAACATAAAAGCCTTTATGCAGATTTATAGAATCACAAAATAGTTTAGGTTGGAAGGGACTTTTGAAGGTCATCTAGTCCAATCTCCCCTGCAAAAATCTAATTCAATTAAATATGAACCTTCTTAAACAATCACTTTTAAAAATATACCTTACCAAGAAACGTTAATAATTGAATCAACGACTAGTCATAAACAAAATTTTCACCTCCTCTTTTTCTCATTAGTACCTCTAAAACTTGCAGAAGCAGCACAGCATCTTTAACTGAATGCAAAATTACTTGACCTTTCTCTCTGAAAAGATACACCAGAATGCTCACAAACATGTTCCTTTTACAGTATAACAAAACCAAAAATAAATGGTAAATTAGTCTATGAATTAAAAATTAATATGAAACCTCCACCTCATAGATAGTATTTTGTTTCAGAATATGAGCTCTAGAGGCAAAGTTTCTTCATAGCACCTATGAAGTAAGAGCTATTAGGCTTGAACTCTACTATACTTTATACCAGACTCTGGCAAAGAGAAGATATTTAAATCTCTCCCTACAGTATCAGGTCACGTTCCTGAGTCTGCAATCTAAACAATTTTTTTTTCCCTCAACCTAACAGTCAATGGGAAAGCACTTTCTTTTTCACTTTGAATTAATTGCATGAGCTATAAGACTTAATTGAGACAAAAAAGATACCCAGATGATTTTTATCAGATTAGCGTATCAGTCCAGTTTTCTGTATCTAGTTTAAAACATCCCCCGGGCAAACCAGAAGGAAAGGTTTGCTAATAATTTCACAGTGGCAAACGATGTGAGGTACAGGTGACATGACAGAGGGAGACAGAAAGGACTTACTTATTTTAATATGGGGAAGATGCTGATGCAAAGCATACCAGTCTGCAAGCAACATTCATAGACAGCATTACAGACATTTTGCCAGAGATATCAAATTATGGTATTTAGAACTTTCATGAAAGCTGACAAAGAATTCATTTGTTAAAAGACATGCACATACATAAAATCTTAGCAGTTGACTCCAATAAACTCCACAGTCTTCCCTGTTGTCAATCATACAAGGTATGCTTAGGGTCTAAAATACAAACTAAATGCAAGAAATTGGCAATAATTGCATAATACAGCTTATAATTTTAGCTACCATGCAACTGAAATAAACTGATACCATCAAAGCAGCTATTCAAAAACTTCAATAAATAATTGTTAACCATTAATAACAGTTAACCATTAACAAAACTACTTAAAGCAAGCACTAAATCACACAATGTTCCTGGTTCTGCGCTATTAACGTGATTAAAGACTGTCCAGGGAAGAAGTCAGGAGCAGTCTGTTAAAAAGGTAACACTTTTATTTAGGGAGGAGATCTGCAAGAAGGATACTTACAGACACACTATTTAAGGCTACCCTTAAGTCTTGTTTGGGGTTATTTTTAGGTGTAATGAACACCCAGAAACCACAATCACATATATGCATCCTTTCAAGTACAAAATGAGGGCAGTTGCTGGGAACTGAGGGGACTTAAAATACAATGACTTCTCTTGCAGGTGCTATTCATGTCTGGAAATGCTAGTGTGCTAAACCATTAAGAAAAATTTTTCTGAACTAATCCAGATTCTGAAATTAACCATTAGCAGGAGTGTTAGACTGCACTGACCCACAAAAATATAGGAATTTAGCTAGGCCTCCTCAATCTGAAAGGAAATTTAAGAATTTGAGTGAAAAGGAACAGTGCTAAAACTTGTTCCGTTGCTAAGTTTGATTAATACATTTTACCCACATCTGATCAGCTTCCAGCAATCCATCCAAACTTGTGTTTAACCTCTCTTATTTAAATACCTTTTATCTATCCACTAGTCCTCACACCAAGCCATTGATTCCCATCAATAGAAAAGCTCAAACAAGATACTCATGTTGTTATGGGTATTTGACTGCCACCCAGACTTTGTCTATCAGAATTATCTTAAGCAGCCTAATATCTGCTAGCTTTATTACCCTGTTCAATTGTTTCTTCCAACAATGCTATCAGATATTCCTCATCTTTCAGAGTTTAGTAGAGCTGTATTCAGTAAAAAGAAAGAATATTATATACTGTATAATACCAACCACATTTTATTAGAGGGAGTATAATTTACAGCATTAGACTCTAATGTATCAATCGCATAAATCATGTACCATTTATTTCTCTTCAGAGAGCAAGAGCACTTTTCTTTCACACTTAGTTTGCCATATGTTTGATTAGGTTGTAAGGAGATTTCAGTATATATATTCAGTATAAATATATATCTCATATTAATTTCAACAGGAATAACAATGTGAATACCAAACCAAAAACCAAAACAGAGTATGAGGCACTGAGAAGCATCTCAATGATACCTGATGTCCCTTTATACAAATACTTAGTATTTTACCAGTATATTTTCCTGTTTGATTGTCACTAGCCAATGTGTCTTAGTGCAAGCAGTATATTCTTACGAAACTGTAAGAAGATTAAGCTCAGACAGGATTTAAGTGTTATGTACACTCCACAGCATCCTTTGGCAGCCAGCCACAGTAGCATTTTCCTGTTACCAAATCAAGGTCACAGAGGCATCCCTCATTGTACCGCATTGTTTCAACAAATCCCACATCCAACTTCCACATCCTAAAATGGTATACAATAATACATTTTGTAAAGGTAGAAAAAAGTTCATGTTATTCAACTCTAAATACTTAAGTGAAGTAGCTGTGGGAGTTAATTAATCTCCTGCAGGGTTGCTCTACAGTCAGCAAAGAAAAAACAGCTCCTTTAGAGAGCAATTCAGGACTATAGCATCTTTCATAACTTAGTATAGCTGATCCACTTGCAAAAACAAAACCAAACACTGACCACAAATGCATCACTTGACTTTTTTCCCCCTAATATTTACTACTGTTATAAACTTTAAGCAAAAGCAGAGCTGTGATGGAGAACGAACGCAGGATACATCCAAGCCCATGTACAGCTGTAAAAGAGGTTCTCTGGGGAAAAAAAAACCCAATTTTGAACAACAATCAAGAGAAAACCATGCTTAAAATTTAATCTCTCCAAGCTGAGTCCTTTTGGATGCACCTTCTCTGACATTAAGGAATAAAGACCATTTCAGATATGGAGTGCGAATAGAACATCAACCACAGCAAGCAATACTGCTCTATTAGGAACAACAAACTCATTTGAATCAAACCTAGCGCGCACTGGGTACAAAGCTAGCATTTCCTTACAAATCATCCCTCATTAATTTCTTTCCAACTGAACTAACTTTTCAAGGTTAGCATTCCCCAAAGGAAGGAAACACACCATTTTTTTTGTCCTATTCAAAAGACATTCATAATCTCCCAAAGATGAAGGAAGCAGGGTAATAGGCAGGATTACAAAACTTTTGGAGAGCTACATTTGGCCACTTCAAGCACCTACTTGGAGGAATCCCATGAGTTAAGACTCCACAAGTTAGAGGGGTCCAAGGGAGCTGATTAATACTCAAGCATCATCTGTCCGAAGCTAAGGACCAGTGCATGTCTATTAGTAAGAAATCAATTAAAAGCATCAGAAGACCTGTATGGATAAGCAAGGAGCTTCTGACAAAACTGAAACACAAGAATGTTTATGGAATATGGAAAACAGGACAGGCCACTTGGGAGGAATAAAGGCATGTTGTCAGAGTATGCAGGGATATCACAGAGAATACTAAGGTCCATTTGGACTGGAGTCCAAGGGTTGTCAAGTATGACAAGAAGGGCTTCTTCTAACCTTTCCTACAAGTAGCAAAAGGAAGACTAGAGAAACATGGGCTCACTGCTGAATCAAGTGGGTGTCCTGGTGACAAAGTGTACAGAGAAGGCACAATTAGTAAATGCTTTCTTTGCTCAGTCTTTATTGCTAAAGCCAGATTCCAGGAATCCCTGAGCATGGAGGCAAGAGTAAAAGTCCACGAAAAGGAGTAGTTCCCTTAGGTCAAGGGGGATCAGATTAGATGTCCTTTAGTCAAACTTGACATCCAGAAATCCATAGATTCTGATGAGATGCACCCATGAATGTAGAGGGAGCTGGCGGGTATTATTGCTAAACCATCATCCATTCCATCATCTTTGAAAGGTCACAGAGAACAGGAGAGGTGCATAAGAGTACCGGTGCAGGTTAAATGTTGTCCTGCTGGAAAGTAGCTCTGCAGAGAAGGACCTGTGATTCCTGGTGGACAACAGGTTAAACCAGGAGCCAGCAGTATGCCTTGCTGGCCAAGAAGGCCAGTGGTACCCTGGGATGCATTAGGAAGAGCACTGCCAGCAGGTCAGGGGAGATGATCTGCACTGGTGAGGCCACATCCAGAGTGACATGTCCAGGGCTGTGGCAGGGTATGCTGGGCTGCCCAGCTCAAGAAAGACAAGGAGCTCTTGGAGAACGTCCAGGGGAGGGCTACAAAGTGGATGAGGAGACTGGAGCATCTCTGTAATGAGCAAAGGCTGAGAGAGCCAGGCCTGTGTAGTCCGGAGAAGAGATGACAGAGGGAATCTCATCATTGCATACAAAGACCTTCAGGGTGGTGTCAAGAGGACAGGGCCAGACTCTTTCCAGCCATGCCCAGTGACAGAATAAGGGACGATGGGCACAAGCTAGAACACAAAAGCTCCATCTGAATATGAAGAAAAACGTCTTCACTGTGGAAGTGACAGAGTGCTAGAACAGGCCCCAGAGCAGTTGCAGTCCCCTTTCCTGGGGATACTCAAAAGCTACCTGGACACATCCTATACAACCTCCTCTGGGTGAATCTGCCTTAGCAGGAGGGGTTGAACCTGATCTCCAAAGTCCCTTCCTACCCCAACCATTTTTTGATCCCGTGAAATAGCATTATGAAGTTGGTTCCTATTTTGTGAGCCATACATAACAGCAAATGGTGTATTTAGCTTCTATGAAGTCTGGATCTTAACTTCACATTCAAAGGGCATCCATTACTCACCTAAATTATTCCCACATAATTTGAAACGAACATCTCAAATTACTTCATGTTACAAAGGTCAACCTGCTGGTGATAGAAGACTAACAGGCTCACAGCTTCCTAAATCTCTCTCTCTTAGTGTCTTCTGTTCTTTAATGTACATATTCTGTGTTTCTTTTTTTCTAATCCTCTAATTCCAATCTGATAAATCAAAGTCTTTATTATTTGACTTGAATTCTTTATGCTTGTTCTCTCCAGAGAGAAACTAGTTGGATCCATAAAGGAAAATCAAGAGCAAACAAATTGTACTGGAGACAACTGGGGAAATATTACCTAGAAGCAAATTACAAAATTAGAGTTACTTGAGAGTACAGACATGGTCATACATAAATTCAAACCACCTTATTCTCATGTATCCAAGTTCTCTTATTTAAATTAGCAGCTCTTAAGGCTTGATGTAATTAAAAGAGAGTTGGCCTGCTTTATAAAATATTTCAGCCACGTTATTTTCAGCAATCTAAGCTGTCCATGAGAAAGTAACAGCTAAGGCTCATTTCAAAAGAACAAGCACAGTAAGAGCACTCCAACAAGATGGCCTTGCAATCCAATTCTGAAGGACAGATTTTATACTGCCCTTTATTTACTTTAATAAAACCTTCTTCCTCTCCTTAAATTAAAGGGACCTCTTTAAGGTTAGAATTAGTGCTAATAAAATTTTACAGTTTTATGTTTCCTAGAAATAAAATACTGGCTTAAATAAATATGTTTCTCAACTACACTGGATAAATTGCAAATCCTTAAGGTACAATCCATTATTTCTGGCTTCCCATATCTCAAAAATCTATTAAACTAATAGAAGAGAATTAAAGATAGAGATGAAATGCTTTAGCAAGCACAGAAATTGGTAGAAAGTTTGGAAATGGAAAAAAAATATCCAGAAGCTATTCTTGGAAATCTTAATTAAAACTGACTGGTGCTCACCTCATGGTGGTCAGACTTTCAGCATTGTCTTAACTTCCCATTGCTACTATTATAAGTCCAAATGCCAAAATTTTCTGAACTGCTCTTTCAAAGCTGAAATTAGTAATTTATAGCTGAAAACAAGGTAAACTTGATGAAGATATAATCTGGGTTTTGAGTAATAATCATGTAGGAAAAAAACCCAAAACATTTACCTCCCAACCAGATAACTGAAACACAGATTTGTTCATCAAGCTGTACAAATCCTGAAAACCTCCACTTTGTCCTCAACTATCTCAGGCTGTGGGCAGACTAATGGAGGTATCTCTTCACCTCATGATGCAGAGGCTGATGCAGGAAATGCAAAGAGCTCAGTCAGGTAAGTCCTGGAAAACAGAGCTGAAGTATAGCTCAAGACACAATTGATGAAATAATCCAAATAACCTCTAGATAAACATGCTATCTGTCTGCCACAGCTTCAGCACTTCTCTGCAATATTGAAAGTCAGGACCAACAGAAGGTACATCACATGAAGTAACTAAACTGATCTTAAAAAGTTACATAATACAGTTAAATAGAAGACTCTGATAACAAAGGAGGGATACTCAACCATCTCTGCCCGAGTCATAGCAGTTTAGTAAAGAACTATTTTATGAAGACTGAAACCTTTACTGTAACAACTGTACTTCTACATTTTCTCCATCTGCCCATTCCTTTTAGAAGACAGAAGTGGATTTCCAAAAAAAATTCACTTCCTAAGCACCAGTGACAGCTTTTTTATTACTTTGTTGAAAGAATTAAGGTAGACAATTGGAGAACATCCTTTTATACAGAATCACTGTACTTTTTTCCAGTTTGCTTGTGTGTGGATTAGAATTAATAGCAAAAGAGAAGACTCAGCCAACAACACTGCCAATTTTAAAGAAAAAAAAGGGGAAAAAAAGGGGGGGCAAGCACCAAGACCACCTTCCTGAATGTGGATAAACTTTGTTGGATACAAGTGGTATATGAGCAGTGAAATATCAAGAGAAACCATGAGCATTCCAGAAGAGTGGTACTCATAGAATTATAGAATATTCTGAGTTGGAAAGGACCCACAAGGATCACTGAGTCCAACTCCTGGCCCTGCACAGCACCATCCCCAAAAGTCACACCATGTGCCTGACAGCATTGTCCGAATACTTCTTGAACTCTGTCAGGCTTAGTGCTGTGACCACTTCCCTGGGGAGCCAAAAAACGTTTTATCCTCTTTTCCAAGAAAAAGATGGTTCTCTAATTTGTTTGTTTTAACTCTAAAGTTATTTCTATAGACAAGAAGGCTCTGAACTCTGGAAACATAATCATGAATGATAGGAATTAATGTTATGCAGAACCTTCAGCAAAAAAAAAAAAAAAAAAAAGTGTCCCCCATTAGAGGTCACCCTGAACAGAAACAAATCTTATTTGCTTTAATCCTACTATATCCAACATCAGGGGGGCAAGACCACGGGGTGGGGGGCGGAGGGGAAGGAGGAAGGCAGCAGGAGTCCACAAAGCATGCAGTTTCCATTGTTACATATCTCCTAACCTGATCATTTCCTTATAGCACTTTCAAGAAGAACATTTCAATATGAATCAACAAAAATAGTTTCGTAAAGTAGGTCGTTGCTGCAGCAACCGGGCGGCTGTTTGGACTACTCCCTGCCACAATGACCTACTTTTCCAGTTATATGTAACCGTGGTAGTAAGATCCGCATATTCCTTCCCTATGGAGCCGCTCCGAGAGGATTCCTGTACCACAGCTGAACTTTATTCCTAACAAGGACACAGAAAGGCTGCATTTGAGCAGGTAAAAGCAGCGGGTCGGTTCTGCTCCTCCTCTGTGTCATACTCAGAAGTGTCGGTGGCTAAAGGTTACATGAAAGCCAATATGTGCTCGGAGCTCAGCAAGTGCCAGGGCAGCGCTCAGAGCCGGAGGAGCCGATAAGAATGGAAGGGAAGGTGTGAAAAGGAACAGGCGCTCATGAACAGCGCGTCCCCTGCCAGACCCAACAGCTGGCACACGAGCTGGGCACAAACAGCCTGTTCTGCGCCGCCATCCAAACACAGCCTCATGGACACCCGCCTTTATTACAGCTCTCAATTACATTAAATCTGCATAAAAGAAAAACCCTGGTGAACTGCAGGTAAAGCTCACGTGTTTTTAAACCCTATTTAACCCTGCATGCGCTGGAGAGGGGAGACACAAAGGTACCACACAAATCCAGGAAGAAATGTTGGCAATTACATAATTTCCTGTTTACTCTTGCTGTTAAAACCAGCATTTTTCCTTATGACAAAGGAAAAAAATACCTCCTGTTAAACTAATAAAGGAAATAATTATCTCTGTAGAAATAAGACTACAAGACTCCAAACCTCAATCACACTGTCCTGTACTTTGCAATTTTTTGATCAATGTATTCAATTCCAAATTCAATGTATTCAATCCCAAGTTCAAAAGCTTTCATTCAAGGTAAAAGTAAAGACACAAGAATAAGAGACAAATATTTCCAAGCAAAAGAAAACTCATTCCAAGAAAAGACAAGCTAGGCATTACCATGTAGTACATCATAATTAAAAATCCACTCAACAGAACGCTTCTGACAGATAATGCAGTCCATATGCAGAGAAGCATAAAAATGAAGAAGACACAGAAAAGCTCTCCAAAGCTTACTTTACCCTTAGGTATTCTTAGAATTTCTAAGTTCAGCAGGAAAAATACTGCAACTGGTGACAATATAGTACTGCAAGTGGAAAAGTTTTTGGAATTTTCCTCACACTTCCATTTGCAAACAAGCCACTTACAATGACATAACTCCTCCTGAAAATCTCACACCCTTCAAACAAAATAGTAAAAAAAAAACACCCAAAAAGCCTAAAAATTATTTTTACTTTACCACTGCACTTGACAAGCCATAGAGCAACAACTGCAAACTTTTTTGCAGTTTCTAGGGTTAAGACACACTAATAGAAGAAAAAAAAGTACAGAATTAGGAAAAGAAATAGGAAAGGCTGCTGCCAAAAGAGCAACACATGGTTACTAGCAACACTTTCCAGTTTCAAAGTGTGACCTCCAATACCAAAAATGCAAGCTTCATTGTGCTGTCTCACATGGAAGCAGTAAAGAATTGGAGTAAAAATTTCTTCAAATGCTGCAAATGCAGCATTGAAGAATTTTGCTTTGACAAATACAATGTTTCAGTGTTGGCATTGAAAAAGAGAGGTTGGTGGAATTATATTTAAAAGAATGCAGAAAGCCAAATTCTAAATTGCAAAAATAGAAACAGCCACATTATCCCCCAAAAACTCATGATTTTCTTCATGGTTTAGAAGAAAAACAGACTACTGCTGAAATAAAGTACTTCAACAGCAAATTTATTGGCAACTAGCTTTCAGAACAGAAATTTCAACCAAGTAAGAAAACCCTACTCACTGAAAAGCACCATGACTGAATGATGAAAATTAATTTTACACAGGTCTCTGCAGGTTACAAAAGCCTTGAAATAAAAGGGGAAAATAGAAAGCAATTAAAGCAGAACTGTCAATATCACAGCAACTTACAATTTTTCCCTTTGTCATAAACTGAAGAAACTACATACTAGGAGAAGTTTTGAGGTCATACAAATGAAAGAGTATGCTAGAGAAAAAACCAAACAATTAGTCTCTCATAGAGACCTTTAAGGAAGCATTCACAGGATTTGGGAGATACTAAGCAAGAGCAGAAAACAGCAAACAGTAACACTGCCTAAAAAGAAACATGGATAAAGCACAGTAAACTAGACTTTACCAGGCCTGTCATCTACTGAAAAGTAATGAAGGAAAGTCTTAGGAATTATCCCTAGGCAACACAAATAAAACAAATAATTCAGATGCCATCCTTGGCTTGATCACCCTCATTAAGACTTGGATGGCTTTGACTTTTTGAGTTCACCAATAGCAAGACTTACAAAGAACAAAACTGAAATGCAACCTCCTCCCCAAAGACCCTTCTGAAACCTGGATAGTAAAAATTTCTGTGTAGAATATTTTCTTTTAAATGCATGTCTCAGTTTTGCAGATGTAGCCATGCTTCTCCTTTGAGACAGGAAAAAGGGAAAATATTAGGTAATCTCTGCTAAAAGCCAAAACATTTACTTCAACTTTAAGACTTCTAGAAAAAATTAAGCTTGTTTAATCTCCAGAATATAAAATTAAAAGGAGAAAGAATGAAAAATCACTTGATGTCGCAGGATTTACAGACAGAAAATTTCAACACAGAGGAAACTTTATAGAGAACATAGCAAAGACAATATTTAGTCCATTCTTCAGTGAATCAAACATATTAGAAATCAAACCAGTAACTATTTTCAATGCCAGTTGCTCTCTAAATGCAGTATCACAATTGTCTGTATGCTTCCCCAATACTTCAGAACTGCACAAATTGTGAAACTGAGTTAAGTTCACCCTGGTGTTCTGTATCTTTAATGCACAGCAAAACTGCAATGGTCCATTCAGATCATGATCATGTTTTATGAACTGTACAAGGCATGAAGTAACAAGCAGCCTACATGAAGAAGTTGCCTATTTATTTATTTCTCTGATGCAAATTACCCTCCTATTTCTGTTCTTTCAATCACTTTTTTCTCTCTCTCTCTCAATTGCAGCACAGTTTACCCCTCACCGACAAGGTCAGTAGAACTCTGGCACTGAGAAACAAACAAAAAAAAACCATAAAACAAAACAAAAAAAAAAAAACCTTCAAGCACTGAACTCCACAGATTCCTTATTTTAAAAAAAAAATAAAGCATTTCCTAGCTTTGGATACATAACAGATAGAAAAATCCAAGTTTTCCTTACGGGAGTTGTTCCTAAGTAACTTGTACTGTATATATTTCATCTCCATCACTGAAGAATTAATAACATATATTCATACTTCACAACTTCCCCATTTGAGCTTAAACAGATTTTTTTTTCCATATTTCTGGTTCTAATTCTGAAGGGGTAAGGGTTTGTGTTCTGAAACAGTACAAACCTTCAGTGCAAGAATTTTACAGCTTTTGCTTTTCATGTCCCTGAAAGAGCCACAAACATACAGATGTTAAAGAAAGAATGCATGAGAATGAGCAGGAAGGGAAATGCAGAGAAGAAATGCATGGGAGTGAACAGGAAGGGAAATGCTTCTCTATAAATTAAGAAACACTGAGATAAAGTAAATTTCTAAAACAGGTCCAGAAAATTTCTCTAGTTCAGTTGTAGGAGGAAGCAATGCATAACACAAAAGCTCAGGTGCACATCACATGCCTCTTAATACAGGAATTAGATATGCAGGACACATCCTAACCAATGTTCAGTGGAAGAAATCCCTTCCACCTCTGATAAAACTGAATAGGTTTTATCTTATTGCAAAAAGGTTGTTGCACTAGCACTTTTCAAAGAGATTTAAGCAACAGTTTGACACCTGAATTTACTAATTTACTTCCGAAACCCTGAGTATTACAAAATTCTTATTTCCTATCCAGGATTACCAACATTGAATTTTAGACCTTTCAAATACTAAAGCAATTTAAAAATAAATAGTAAAAAAAAAAAAATAAAAAAAATCAAAGTACAGA